GTTTAGATTGCTGTGTTTGGGGTGGCCTTTCTGTGTGCTGGAAGTTTGTGGTTCCTCTTTATTGTGAAGGTTGCTCCCTGTGCATGGGGTTGGACTCATGGTTTGTCAAAGATTCCTGGCTAATGAAGCTTTTGTCTGTATTCTGGTGGGTGCAGCTGAATCTCTTCTCTGTGGAGTGCAATGTAGTATCCAGTAGTGAGTTCTGAGATGTTTATGTGTTTGGTGTGACTTTGGGCAGCCTGTATTTTAATGTTCAGGGCTATGTTCTTGTGTTGCTGGAGAATTAATGTGGTATGTCTTGCTTTAGAACTTGTTGGCTCTTGGGTGGAGCTTAATTTCTGTGTAGGTATGGAGGCTTTTGAATGAGGTCTTGTCGATTAATGTTCCCTGGAGTCAGGAGTTTTCTGGTCTTCTCAAGTTTTGGATTTAAGCCTCCTGCCTCTGGCTTCAGTCTTATTCTTACAGTACCCTCAAGATTTCTAAATCCATACTGCACAGATGATAAAACATGTAGGTCAATGGAAAAAAGATTCTCCATAGTGGGGGACACCCAGAGAGGTTCACAGAGGTACATCAAGAAGAGAAGAGGGAGGAAGGAGATAAGGTGACCAGGAGGAGAAGAGGGGGAATCAAAAGGGGAGAGATCAATCTAGCCAGTAATCAATTCCCTATGTGCTCTCCACAGTCTGGAACACCCAGAGAGGTTAATGGCATTACATAGAAAAGAGAAGAAGAAGGAGTGAGATGGAGGTGACCAGGCGGAGATGAGAGGGAGTCAAAAGGGAAGAGACCAGTCTAGCCAGTAATCAGTTCCCTAAGTGTTCTCCACAGCCCAAAAAACCCAGAGTGATTCACAGAGTTAAGTAGGGGAGAGAAGGGGCAGGGGGGAGATAGAGCTCACCTGGGGAGAAAAAGGAGAGTCAAAAGGGCAGAGAGCAATCAAGTCAGTAATCACACCCCTAAGCAAAATTGGGTACTAAAGACTGGATTCTTAAAGTTACAAAATTGATAACAAATACTCAAAAGGAAAGATTAAACATCTAGAGTTGATATTAGATTCTGAAAAGACAATAATAAAAATACAAGACAAAATCAATCACAAAAAAATTATATATATATATATATATGAAATTTGCTTTAAAAATAGGGTCTTTTTTGCAAGAACATAGTAGGTTATAAAAATGAAAATTAAGGGAGTAATAAAGAACTTAAAAATAAAAATTAAACAATGATAATAGTAAAAATGTATCTAGGAATTTTTCTGGAGCTGTTGAGGGCAGTGTGGAGTCAGTTCAGTTTCAGATAGTTCCTTGTTCCAACTTATACTTCTTCTCAAGGTCTGTGGGCCCCTTCCAATGCTTAGTGAATGCTAACTACAGGGTTTTAATCTGTTGCACCTGTCACTTTCAGAGCAGTTCCCTCTTCTTTGTTTATTTTGGCTTCCTGTGTTTGCAAGCCTCTTCACTGTCTAAATTCCATCCATACACAATGGGGCGAAGGTGGTCACTTATTTAGGCTCACTTGCTCAGTTATGCTTTGGAGGGACGGACACTGCAAATATCTGTGGCATGTGTGTGTGTGGAGTTCTTGCAGTGTATGAACCACACTGGGTTTGCTCCAGCCTACAGCACCTGTGCTTTCCCAGTCTACAGTGCTCAGGCTTCAGGTTGCTCTACTGGGGAATTTTCCAAAGTGGGCCCTGGTATGCATGCACTTCCCACATCTAAGCTGCTCAGCTTCAGGTTCTTGGGTACTCCACAAAGGTGCAGACTCGGTTCGTTGTGTGTTTTGTGCCTTTCCCAGGTCCGAGGAGCTCAGGTGACCAGGTGCTTGGCGAATGCACTATTCCAAGTGGGCTGTGCGTCTTAATCACCTCCCCAGTCCCAGCTGCTCAGTTTCCTGGGTGCACAGCGATAGTGTGATCTTAGGTGTGCCATGTGTCTCCTCTGGGAAGCTGATCTCAGGCTGCAACCCTCCTGTCAGATGTCAAGTGCCTAGGATCCCAGGAATATTTGGTTAGCAACTGGGAGCCTCCTCACAATTTGTTGGGGGATGCCATCTCTGGGTCCAAGATTGCCCCTTGCCTTCCAGTTCTGGCTGTTGCCAGCTTGCCTCTCTGCCTCTGGTAGGGGGATGGGCCAGTTCATACCCATCTAGATCTCCTTTGGTATTCACTCAATCCTTTTTTTTTTTTTTTTGGTGAGCAGGCAGGGTGCACCTTAAGTTAGAGCTCTTTGTGGGGAAAATTCTCTCTCTCTCCTCTCTCTCTCTCTCTTTCTCTCTCTCTGGCTTTCCCACAATTTGAGTTGCTATGTTATGTTAGCGCCCTCAGATTGTCCTCAGGGCATTCAGGCCTGGTCCTTACCCTTAGCATGCAACCCACGCCTCCCTGTTCAGCCCCCAGTCACTGATGGCAGACACAAGCATCTGTGCTACTTCTTCACTGGGAGTTGCAGTTAGCCACGTATTGTGTGTGTGTGTGTGTGTGTGTGTGTGTGTGTGTGTGTGTGTGTGTGTGTGCATGTGTGTGTGTGTTTTCCTCCCAGTTATGTTGCCCTCTGAGATTCCAAAGCTTCCCATAGACTCGCTGGTAAGAGGGTTTCCTGGTGTTTGGAAGCTTCTCCTCCTTCACGACTCCCTCCCCCAGACAGGTCTCCCCATCCCTAACTCTTTTGTCTCTCTTTTTGTCTTTTATATTTTGTCCTACCTCCTTTTAAAGAGAATGGGCTTCCTTTCTAGGTACCTGGTGTCCTCAGACAGCATTCAGAAGTTGTTTTGTGGAAGTTGCTCAGCATTCAAAGGATCTTTTGATGAATTGTAAGGGAGAAAGTGGTCTTCCCGTCCTATTCCTCTGCCATCTTAGGCTTTCCTCTATTTACAGCCTTAATAATTATTTTTGTCCTCCAAAGAACCTTTGTTTATGTGGGTAAAATCTATTGATAGCTACCATATTAAAAATTCAAACTGATAATTTTTGAAAATAGGTATTAATTCATGTGACTTGCAATAAAGAACTTACTACTTGGTAAACTAAATAACATGCATTTCTAAAAATAACTGTCTAAAATAGAAAATAATAATAGCTATATCATTTATATTTTTAAAATCCCTTTTATCATAGTTTAATAGAAGATAGCTGAAAATATTGCTTCTGCATTTAATATATTGTGATAGTGCATGGCATGACCTTCTGGAATACTCTGCTCTATTCTAATAAAAAAGAGTAAAAAATGCAAATACTCAATATTATTATAGAAGTAATTTTCTCTTTTTAACACCCTTGAAAGATCTTGGGGACTCACAGATTTTTCCCAAACCACATTCTAAAAACCTGCTTTATAGTAACCATGGAAAGCATGGTTTCCAAGATGGCAAAAGCCAAAACTAAATAGCTTAGGAAAAGTAGAACACTGAAAATGTTTAATCCAGCTCCTCCAATAAATTGGAATAAAGCAACAAAGAAGAGAGAAACCAAAAGACAAACAAATGCCCTAAAATTATAGATATAAGTACAACTATATCAACAGTTATGTTAAATATAAATAGCTTAACCTTCCATTAGAAAGACAAAGATTTTAAAACTATTGAAAATAGGTCTAAGTGTTTTTATGAGTTATACTTTATATATAAAGACACAGAGATTAAAACTGTGAAGATGGGGAAAGATACCTCATGTAAAACTGAAGCTAAGCAGGGTTCAACAACCTTGATGACTCTTAAGAGATAGTAAGCATGTCTGTGTGCTAAGATGCTTTAGTTGTGTCCAACTCTTTGAGACCCCATGGGGATTCTCCAGGCAATACTGGAGTGAGTTGCCATTCCCTACTCCAGGGGATCTTCCCAACCCAGGGATCAAACCTGCATTTCTTATGTCTCCTGCATTGGCAGGCAGGTTCTTTACCTCTGGTGCCACCTGGGAAGCCCTGACTGGGGAAAAAAAAAAAAAAAGCCTCAGACAAAAGCTTTGTTTCTTATATGAAAGTATGCTTTCATTTGTGTGAGGTTCAAAGTTGACAAAAACTGACTTTGAGATAGAATATTGGTAACTACTTGGAGTATAGACTAGGAAGGAACATGGGAATACCGTATAAGTTATTAGAAAGTTACTGTATTCTTGCTCATGTTGTGATCATAGAAGTATATACATAAGCAGAAACATCATCGGGTATATATTTATGATACTCCTGCATTTGTATGTCATTTGTTACAAAATAAACAGATGTCTTAAAAAGAAACTGTGGTGGTCAGGAAAACTATTAAATATGTCATTTATCTTTAAAAACTTTGGCAGTTAAGTGAGACTTGTCATTTGAAGAAAAAATGGAAATTTAATCTTGGACAATGATAACAAAAAAGATTGAAGAGATTGAAATATAAGAGGTTTAAGGTTATTTTATTGATCCAAGGAGGGTATAGATTTTTATTAAATAGATTGTTATGCATATTAAAAATTTTATGTTAAAGGATCATATAAAAGGTATAATGTTTTGACCAGTAGAGTAGGAAGCAAAGAAAATGAAGAAAACATATTTTAATAGAGTCCAGGGAAAATGAAGTAAATGGGCCAAGAAAAATACATGGTACATGAAAGGTAAAATAAAATGGCAGAATGAGTCAAAATGTATCACATCACAATAAACATAAATAGATAAAATTCATCTGTTGCAAGACAGAGACCTCTCAGATTGGTGCAAGTCCCTCAGATTTTGGAGGATGCCTTTTTATAACTTGAAAATTAATATATCATTTGAAACACATTAGCATTTTTATTCAGAGAAGGCAATGGCACCCCACTCCAGTACTCTTGCCTGGAAAATCCCATGGATGGAGGAGCCTGGTGGGCTGCCGTCTATGGAGTTGCACAGAGTTGGACATGACTGAAGCAACTTAGCAGCAGCAGCATTATTATTTAATATTTATTCCATGCCCTCAAAAAAGAAATAAATAACAGATTTTATGTCAACAGTTATACACTAACTTCTGATTTATTTTTCTTGTAGTCTGATCTCAACCATGAAATGGAATCTGATATGATAGATGTGGTAAGTGACCTCTCAAGGTTTTGTTTTCTAAAATAAAATATTTCACATATACTATATTCTTTTTAATATTAGAATACCCAATAATTATATTTTGTTTAGTACACTGTAGAAATGTATAGACACATACACTATATGTGTGTGTGTGTGTTTATTGAATGTTTAAAGCATATTTGCTTTATATTTTTGTCACACAATTTAAGCTTCCTAGGTAGTTTAGTGGTAAAGAATTTGCCTGCCAGTGTAGGAGACACCAGTTTTATCCCTGGGTCAGGAAGATCCCCTGAGGTAGAAATGGCAACCGACTCCAGTATTCTTGCCTGGAGAATCCCTTAGACCAAGGAGCCTGGTATGCTACAGTCCATGGGGTTGCAAGGACTTGGAAACAACTGAACATGCATGCATACACACAGTTTAAATTGGATGAAACAAGGAAAAATTAAATATTTCTTACAGAATAAAATATTCTAAAATGTGAGACAAAAACCTATAAATTAATTGAAAATGTATAATTACAATGGGCAAATATAAGCATCTTTATTTCAACATATTGTTAAACAAAAACAAAAAATATTTGCTTTATTCACATTTCTGATTTGGAATATTCTTCCTCTGAAGAATAATTTATTTGTGTGCCATTTTCTTTTGGCAGAGACTGCCACTGCTCTTTGGTATTTTTAAGAGAAGAGGCCTTAATATACTTAATAAGTCAAAGTTATATGAATTTGTATGTGTCAAATATTAGTAGAAAGAAATTCATCTTTGTAAAATATAAATCTTTGGGAAATATTTTCCTCAGTAAGTCCCAGTGAAAGAAACTCTGTGCCTACACCTACTGCCTTGGGTATCTGTGTTTGTGTTTGTTTAGAAAAAAGAAAGAAAAACATGATAGTAGTCTCTAGAATTACAGATTGCCTGAAGTATTTCAGATGCTGCTGAAATAATTAGAATTAATTAATTGTACTTCTTCCTTTCTATATCAGTCTGATATTCATTTGAAGGATGTTTGATAGGTTCCCTCATAAAATTGTAAATATTTAAGAGTAGTTTTGTAGCTTTTGTATTTTGTTTGCTGCTTAGCAGTTTTTTCATGCCAAAAGAAAGTGGAATACTAATTCCCATTTTTAACATATGGCACAAGAGAAGAGCATTCTGCCTTAAAAATTACCTCCATTTGCAGCTTGCTGATGTTTAAATGTAATTTATTTGGCTTTACAATGTGTTCCTTTTCAGAATGAAAATGTTCCTGTAGTATACACAATATTTAAAAAGTTCACAATTTTCTTTAAAGTGCAAGAAAGTTTTGGATATCCTTTCTGAAAGATAGACTTTTGGTGAGGCAAAGTTGAAATAAAGCATGAGGACACTGAGTCCATAGAGAGAAAAACTGCAGAAGAAAAACAGGTTGCTTGCAAGTTTTTCCTAGGGACAAGATAATTTGCTCTTGAAGCATTTTTTTTTTAAGTTTAGTTACCTATAAAGTGAGTTCAACTTCAGTAACAAACTAGGAGTCATCAAAGTCATTGTTGAAAATGAAATGACTGTATTTTGTGTCTGCAATAAATCACCATTACATCTTTATCATAATCAACTCAGAGGAGGTTTTGTATTTGAGATTAACCTTTTTCAGAAATCATGAAATAGGATTATGTCAAACACATTATTTTATTACATTCTTCTTGCTTTTGTTAACTGGAAGGCTTTAGGAAAAGTATTTTGTACAGATGAAACTAACTTTGAGATCTCTAATAAGTATTGCTTCTTAGGTATAGGTAAATGTTTAAATATTTTTCTTAATAATGTTTTAATAAACATGCAATATGTTACCTAATGTATTTATTTATTTATTTATTGTTATCATACAGATTGTTACTTTCTAACCATTTTTATTTTCTCTTCGTCTGTTTTCCTCTCTCACTGCTCCATATGGGAACTAAAACTAAAGTATTAATGTGAAATATGGGAGATGATCATAGATTTGAAAAACATAGTTGTTCTTCTGCAGTTGCTTAGTTGTGTCCAACTCTGTGACTCCATGACCTGCAGTGCACCAGACTTCCCTGTCCTTCACTAAATCCTGAAGTTTGCTCAAACTCATGTCATTGAGTCAGTGATGCCATCCAGCAGTCTCATCCTCTGCTGCCCCCTTCTCATCTTGCTCTCAATCTTTCCCAGCATCAGGGTCTTTTCCAATGAATCAGCTCTTCATGTCAGGTGAACAAAGTATTGGAGCTTCAGCTTCAGCATCAGTCCTTCCAATGAATATTCAGGGTTGATTTCCTTTAGGATTGACTGGTTTGATCTCCTTGCTACCCAAGGGATTCTCACGAGTCTTCCCAGCACTACAATTTGAAAGCATCGATTCTTTGGTGTTCAGTCTTCCTCATGGTCCAACTCTCACATCTGCACATGACTACTGGAAAAACCATAGCTTTGAGTAGACAGACCTTTGGTGGCAAAGTAATGTCTCTGCTTTTTAATATGCTGTCTAGTTTGATCATAGCTTTTCTTCCAAGGACCAAATGTCTTTTAATTTCATGGCTGCAGTCATGGTCCACAGTGATTTTGGAGCCCAAGAAAATAATGTCTATCACTGTTTCCATTGATTCCCCATCTATTTGCCATGAAGTGATGGGCCCAGATGCCAAGATCTTATTTTTTTGAATGTTGAGTTTTAAGCCACCTTTTTCGCTCTCATCTTTCACCTTTGTCAAGAGGCTCTTTAGTTCCTCTCCACTTTCTGCCATTAGGGTGGCATCATCTGCATATCTGAGGTTACTGATATTTCTCCCAACAATCTTAATTCCAGCTTGTGATTCATCCAGCCCAGCATTTCACATGATGTATTCCGCATATAAGTTTAATATTCAGGGTGACAATATACAGCCTTGACGTAGTCCTTTCCAAATTTTGAACCAGTTCATTGTTCCATGTCCAGGTCTAACTGTTGCTTTTTGACCTGCACACAGGTTTCTCAGGAAGCAGGGAAGGCGGTCTGGTATTCCCATCTCTTTAAAATTTTCTACAGTTTATTATGATCCACACAGTCAAAGGCTTTAGTATAGTCAATGAATCAGAATTAAATGTTTTTCAAAAACAATAGAATATACAATATTTTTTAATAATATTTACTAAGTATAAACACTTTTCAACGTATTTTATACCTGAGTTGGGAAGATTCCCTGGAGGAGAGGGCATGGCAAGTCATTCTACTATTTTTTCCTGGATGATCCCCATGGCCAGAGGAGGCTGGCGGGCTACAGTCTATGGGGGTCACAAAGAGTCGGACATGACAGAGCTACTAAGCACACATGTATGGTGACATTTAACTAAAAATTTTTGGTAACTTTCCCACAGCAACTTTCATTTCCCCTCTTTCTGCACTGTAGTGTTTGATTTTTGCAAGTTATATAGTTGACCCTGTTGTTTCATTGTTACCACTTATTCAGCTCTTTTACAACTATAACCCACTTACTCAATGAACATTTACTGAACACACATTATATGTTATGCATTGTTCGATATACTAGGAACAAGCAAGGCACATACCCCGATCCCTACTGAGTTTGAATAAACAAGTAAGTGAAATATGTAGTATGTTGCATGATGATAAGTGTTATAGAGAAAAATAAAGTGAGGAAGTAGGATCAGGTTCCAGCAAGCATGATTGAATGTTAGGGATTGACTCAGTGAAAAGGTGAATTGAGCAAAGACCCTAAGAAGGTGAAAGATCAGGCTTTAAACCATGTGGCTATCTGGGGGAGGTGTGTTCTAAGTAGAGGATACAAAATGCAGAGTATGAGAGAGATTCATACCTTATGTATTCCAAGAATAACAAGAATGCCAATGTGGTTTTAATGAGATATGGAGGGGAAAGGAAGTGGGGAGTAGACATAATCAAAGCTGAGGTCTAAGAGCAAATTGATGGAGGGGCAGATTATATATGTAGTGGGTCACTGTAAAGACTTTCCCTCAACATTTGATTATGTAAACTTTCAAACATAAAAAAGTTGAAAGAATTATACAATAAACCTCCATATCCATACCACCTGAATTCCACAAAAAAAACATTTTATTGTACTTGCTATAGTAAACTACATCATCTGTCTGTATATCTATCTACCCGCCAATCCATCTTATTTTTTATCATGTACTTCAAAACAAGTTGTAGAAATCAGTATTCTTCATCCCAAATACTTCAGCATTCATGACATTAATGGAATTTCAATACTGATTTTCAGTTCAGTTTTATAGAAAAAACATTATAAAATGAAATTAACCAGTCTTAAATCGATCATTCTGTGAATTTTAGCAAATATAAAATGCACATATAACAACTCCTTGTGAAGGTATAGAATAATCTCCTCATCTCAAGAAGTACTCTCATGCTCATTCTGAGTCATCCTTCATGCTTCTCCCCCAGTTCTCACCCTCTCGCCAAGAAGGAACTTCGGTTCTGATTTTTTTCCACCTCTAAATAGTTTTGACAGTTCTGGAAATTCATATAAGTGAAATTATACATTATATGCTATTTTTAGAAGGCCTTTTTCATTCAACATAATGTTCTTTATATCACTTTTTTGTATCAGTTGATTTTACCTTTATATTGTTATGTAGTATTCCATTGTATGAATTTACTGGTTTATCCTTTTTTCTGTTGACAAAAAACCCTTCCTTCATTTGTAGGTATTTCCGAAGATAAATGAAAACATATATGCACAAATAGACCTTAAAATATTCATGGATAATAGAAAACTCTTAGGGCAAAGTTATTCCCAATTTAAGGCTATTATGAATAAAGTTGTTATGACTATATTTCATGGAAGGGTTTTTTTTTTAAGATGATTTTTTTTGAGCAGTTTTAGGTTCAGAGCAAAGTTAAAAGGAAGGTAGACACTTCCCATATACTCCCTACCTCCATGCATGCATAGCCTTCCCCTTTATCAATGTTCCTTGCCAGAGTGCACATTTATTACAATTGATGAACCTACATTGACACATCA